TGGTGGAAGAAGAGAGAGATAGAAGATGTGAAAAAGAAGAGAAGAAACACTTCAAGAACTCTAACTTCATTAAGAAAGGCAAAATAAGGATAATGTGTATTCCAAAAGGCAAAGAGGCTGGGAGGAGGAGCAGAGAGCTTATTCAAAGAGGTCATTCCTCTTATTTGTAGAAGAAAATTTCCCAGATATGTGGAAGAATCTAAACACATACATCCATGAATCTAAATGAATACTTGGGTTTTCTAAATGTAATGAGATCTTTACAAAGACACATAGTAGTGAAACTATTAAGCGTTCAAGACAGAGAAAGAGTATTGAAGGTGGCTATAGAGTGTGGGAGCAGGTAACTAACAAAGGTATTCCAATCAGGCTTTCATCAGATATCAAAGCTGATACTTTGCAGGGAAGGAGTCTATGGAATAACATATTTAAATTAGTCAAAGATAAAAACTGTCAAAATAGAATACTATATCCTCCAAGACTGTTTTAGATACAAGGGAGAAATGAAGGCCTTCCCAGTCAAATAAAAGGTAAAGGTGTTTGCTAACACTTGACCTCCCCTGCAAGTAAATGTGAAAAGGAGCACTCTTACCCAAATCAAAGACAATAAAATCCAAAAAAAAAAATCAAACAAAGAAATAAATAGAATCAGAAAATTAAAGACAAAATGGTAATAGCAAGCCTAATTTATCCATTATCATCCTAAATATAAATGAATTGGACTCACCAATCAAAAAATGCATTAGCTGCTTGGATCAAAAAACCCAACTTACTGGGTCTCCCATGGTGGCGCAGTGGTTGAGCGCTGGGCTGCGAAGCTGCCCGCAGCCTCTGTAGTGCCGGTTCAATCCCTGGCTACAGGCGAGGGTCCCACATGGCGCGCAGACCTCTCCTGCCGTGCCCGCTGCTCCCCTCAGCAGTGTACTTCGGTCCTTCTGCCTGTTCTGCTCCCCGCTCTGGCTCTGGTGAATTCTCTTACCCTCCCGCACTTCTGACTGTACCCAGTGCTTGTATAAATAAGTTAATTAATTAAGAAAAAAACTAATTTGCTTTCCTCTAAGTTGTATACCTCTCTCCTCACCTTCCCCTATATATAAAAAAAAAAAAAACCAACTTACTGATCTCTCCAGGTGACCCATCTAAGCTCAAAGCTCATTGATTCAAAACAAAAGGTTGTAAAACAATCTTACAAGCAAATGATATGCTAAAATAGACAGGGACAGTGATAGTTACAATAAGACAACATAAAGGAAGGAACATTATATAATGATTAAGGTATCAATATATCAGGAACATACAAAACTCATCAGTATATATGCATCAAGTAAAGAAGTATCAAAATATGCAAAACAACTATTAACAAACTTAAAAACAGCCATTGACAGCAACACAATAATAGCAGACTTCAGCACCCCACTTAATTACTGTAAGATAAACCAGATAGAAAATCAACAGGAAAAACAGTCTTCAAGGGGGCACTAGACCAGATAATTTTAATAGGCATTTATTTGTTGAGGTGAGTGTATATTCTACTCAAGTGCAAATGAAACATTCTTGAGGATTGACCATATCTTGGGTCACAAAACAAATGTCAATAAATTCATTTAGATTGAAATTGTATCAAGTGTCTTCTCTGATCACAATAGTATCAAACAGAAGTCAACTGCAAAGAGAAAGTGAAAAAAAAAATATGTGAAGACTAAACAACATACTACTGAATGACTATTGTGTTAATGAGGAAATCAGAATGAGAAAATAAAAAAAAAATAACTGGAGCTACAAGAAACTATGGGACATAGCAAAATCAGTACTACTAGGAGGGAAGTAAATGCCAAAATGAGCACACAAGAAACAAGAAAGATTGCAAATAAATAATCTAATCTTATACCATAAGAAACTAGAAAAAGAGCAAGCAAAACAAGTAGAAGGAATGAAATAATAATAATTAGGACAGAAATAAATAAAATAGTAATTTGAAAAGAGTACAAAATATCAGTGAAACAAAAACTGGATCTTTGAAAAAAGAAAATAGTAAGACTTAAACCTCTGGCTATATTCACTAAGTAAAAGGCAAAAGCTCAATAGAATCAGAAACAAAATAAAACTTATACTAGAGTTCTCAGAAATACAGAGAATCATAAGAGTCTACTTATGAACATCTTTGTATGCCAATAGATTAGACAATTTAGAAGAAATGAACAAGTTCTTAGAAGTATAAAGCCTTCTGAGAATGAATCAGGAAGAAACAGAAAACCTAAACAGATAAATTACAAGCAAGAAAATTGAAAAAACATTCAAAAGCCTCCCCAAAAAAACAAAACTCCAAGGCCAGATGGTTTCACTAGTGAGTTCTGCCAGACCTTCAAAGTCAAATGAATACCTATCCTTCTCAAACTCTTCCAAAAAACTAAGGAAGAGGGAATACTTCCAACACAATATTCCATGAGGACATATTCTGATACCAAAAGCAGACACTAAAAGCAGAAACCAAAAAGATCACAAAGAAAACTACAGACGTATATCCCTGATGAACATAGACACAAAAGTCCCCAACAATATCTTAGCAAATCAAATTCAACAAAACTTTACAGGGAACATATATCATGACCAAGGATAGTTCAACATCCACAAATCAATCAATAAAATCCACCAAATCAACAAAAGGAAAGATAAAAATAATATGATCAAACCAATAAATGCAGAGTGTATTTGACAAGACTAACTATCCATTTATGATAAAAGAATTAAATATCTAAGAATAAACCTAATAAAGGAGGTAAAAGACCTATACAATAAAACTGTAAGGCATTATTAAAAGAAATAGAAGAAGACACAAAGTAATGGAAAAATATTCTTTGTTCATGCATTGGGAAAATTAACATTGTTAAAAGAGGGATCATACCCAAAGAAATACACACATGCTTCAAAGATATACTGCAAATATTCCCCAAATTTACATGGAACTGCGGAAGAACCCTAGTAGCTACAGCAATTCTGACAATAAAGAGTTATCACAAGCCCAAACTTCACATTACAATACAAAGCCATATTAATCAAAATTCTATCATATTTCATTCATAAAAATCTCTTTCATGGACTTTTAGAAGAATCTCAATTCTTGTTTTCTTCAGATCTGCTCTCCATAATACCACAGAGAGATTGAGATATTTTTAAAAAGACATTAAATGGAGATGATTTTGCTCTCCCCCCTTTCTTCTTAAACCAAACACTTCAGAGGTTTCCTACTGCCTTCGACGCAAACTAAAATTTCACCTTGGCCTACATGGCACTTCATAGTTAGATCTCTTTCTACCTCTCCTGACTTATATTGTATTAATTTCTCTTTTTATTGTTTTGAATGCCTGATTCTCGTTTGCCACCAAATCTCTTTTTATGCTCTTCTCTCCTCCAAAAATCCTTGCCCACCTCCCAGCATCCCTTTCAACTTATGCATTTTCCTTTTCTAGTTACTCCAATTTCCCCTTCAATATGCAGCTTGATTGCAATTTTCCACAGGGTTCGATCACCTTCTTCTATGTTTTCACCCTACAAAGCATTTCTCCTTTGTGACACTTCTCCAAGTTGTCACTGATTTTGGCATTTCTTTGTGCATGTGTTTGTGAGCTTCTAATAAGAAAGTGTATCAGAGGGAGGGAGGAAGGAGTACAGGGGACTGTGGTAATGGTGCATTAGTGAAGGAAACTCTACGGGGACAACACCTGAGGGTGTGCGGGAAAGCAAATATTGTTTAAAAATGAACAGTGATGCAAAAAATAAAAATATGTTTAAAAATAAAACAAAATAAAAAATGTTTAAAAATAAAACATAATAAAAAAAGGAAGCATATATTAGTTATCATTTCCCTTGACTGAGCTCCCCCAGCATCAAGGATATTTTGATCCATCACTATGTTTCTAAACTCTAACATAGTACTTGGCACATTGTAAAAGCAACAACAAAAAATACTTATTGTAAATAAATGACAATGGATAAGTAACAAAGGATACATTCCTTTGACAAATCTTAAAAGAGAAGAAAGACTGGGAAAGGCACAGAAAATATAGTAGAGTTTTCCAGGCTGTAGGTAAATATGCATATATACATATACATAAATGTATTTGAACAATTGTGAATTGTCTAAAAGTTCTGAGAATGCCTAGGAAACTGGAGAGGTAAACAGAGCCAAACCATGAAAGATGTGATTTATCATGAAGAAATGAAAGCACCTGCAAAATATTTTAGGCAAGTATTGCCTGAGTCAGATATATGCTCTATAAGAATTACCTTGATGTCTTGATAAAGATAGTATTAGAAGAGTGTGAAGGTGGAGGCTCAGAGATCAGAATGAAGGAATGGGGAATGAAGTAAGATGGGAACATTTAGGGAGAGAGAGAAGAGACTGGAGTCGGGAATATCAGTCTATTACCCATATCACAGCTAACTGTTGAACAATAACAAAGGTTTTTGCTGTTGCTGTTGTTTTAATGATTTGGTTCTTTGCCTGTGCTTAGGGAAAGTGCTCACTTCATTGTGTGTGTGAGTGAGTGTGTGTTTGTGTATCCTGATGTTGAGTTGGTATTGTGTCTTTGCTTCCTACATAAAAGAAACAGAGAGTGAAGGTTCCTCTAGAGATTCAGTCGGGAATGAGAAAGGAAAGGTGTCCATCAAAGGCATAAAAACCTGTACACGGATTGGAGTTGTTGAGTCTTAACTTTTAGACTGTGTGTTTTTGCTCTATGCAAAGGAAAATATAATGTGCAAAGTTCATATGAATAATCAACGTATAAATACATTATAGTAAATATCTTCTGGATGACATTTGGCAACAAATTACCTTCACTATAGTTCTACTCTGACACTCTGGGCCAGCTCCATGCATGCACTAGCACACAACTCAGAAGAGCCCCATGTTTGGTGTATGTTCTATGCTTGCTATGTTCTGTTGTTACAATTTAAAAATCTTTAATAATTTTATGTTTAAACTTTGTTTTGTAAGGGAAGGCCAATAAGAACAATGGAGGATGCACCAAGAAGATAAGCACAACACATGTTTGCTGTTCCTTGATACCCCATTTGCTTTGAGTGTTTGCAGTGTCTCATGGGAATAAAATTCCACCCAGCTGTGCACTGTGTGACTCAATACAAGTACAAGGTAAGTGTGTTACATCTATACTAAGTAAAGGAGGACAGTGAGAGCCTCAAAGACCATGCTTTCCATTTCAACCTGAACTTGCTTGGAACACAATATGAAGGCAATAGTGTTTTACAAAACATGAACAAAACCAAAGGCTTTCATTATATTCTTCTGTACTCATGCTACTCTGCTGCAAGCAGCCACTTATGCTGAAAATGGTATAGAAGAAAGAAAGAAAAAGATAGGGCAATTTATAGTTCCTTTTCCTTTAAGTCCATCCTTACTCAAAATAAATTTAAAGTTAGAAAGTGTTGGTAGAATACATTGTGTCAAAAGGTAAAATAAAAGCATTTGAGTTAGTTGTGCAGTATGTCCAATGTTCTGGTAAGAATGAAATACAGGACCTCCCCTGGTGGTGCAGCGGTTGAGCGCTGGGCTGTGAAGCTGCCCGCAGCCTCTGCAGCACCAGTTCGATCCCTGGCCCTTGGTGAGGGTCCCACATGGCACGCAGACCTCTCCTGCCATGCCCACTGCTCCCCTCAGCAATGTATTTCGTCAAGTCTGCCTGTTCTGTTCCCCACTCTGGCTCTGATGAATTCTCTCACCCTCCCACGCTTCTGACTGTACCCAGTGCTTGTATAAATAAATAAATGAATCTTTAAAAAAAAAAGAATGAAATACATGTGCATGCACAAGCTACTAAATATTAATTGTTAATTTCAGAGTCTACATGCAAGTTACATGCTTTTATATTTAAAGCACTAACATCGCACAATACAGAAATGATAAAATTCATACTAATAATCTAAATTTCATGTTTCTTGACTTAGAATGACAACCAATAGAAAATGAAAAACACCACAATAAGAGAAAGACTGCAAAAGAAAGGAAAACACTCTACATTTTAGTTCACTTAGTGGCATTTTTCCTGCATTTTGAACCAAGAATCCTGTATTTATTGTGCAGCTCTGCTGAAAGTTTAAGAATTGCCAGGTACTAAAACAACATTATCACATACCAAAATAGAGCCAAGACAATCACCAATTCTGTTGGCAGTTAAAAAATAACTGATATTATTCAATTATATCTTACAAACTGGTGTATCTATATAAACCAGTCTGCATAACCTAAAAGGTGAAACATATTTTTAGGCAAGTTTAATTTTGATAGAATATTAGAGGACTAAAATAAACTGGCACAGTGCAGCAGTTTTTCAAATCAGGAGCTCCGGTAAAATACAAGTGACAAAGTAAGTTACATTGGATTCCAAAATCACCTAAAATGATCTGTCTGAAAAAGCATGAGTTTCATTTTGAAGACACAAGCACCTGTGAATACCCTGAACTAGAGTTTTAAGCCAAGTTTTGGATTCTGAGACTACATGAACAAAATTTCTGTTCTCAAAGATGAAATGAAGTATTATTAATATAACTTTTATACAATGGTAAAATAGTACCAAATGAAATTATCCATGCATCCTTTATACACAACTATAACTTTTAAGGAAGAGAGAATAAAGTAATTATTCTCACACTTTCAGTCTTTGTGTGTGTGTTCCCCAAACAGATACATTTTGGCTATTTCTTAAGGACTATTTTTTTTTAAGATTTATTTATTTATACAAGCATTGGGTACAGTCAGAAGCGCGGGAGGATGAGAGAATTCACTAGAGCCAGAGCGGGCAACAGAACAGGCAGACTGATGAAGTACACTGCTGAGGGGAGTAGCGGGTGGCAGGAGAGGTCTGCGCGCCATGTGGGACACTCGCCAGTGGCCAGGGATTGAACCGGCGCTGCAGGCGTTGAGGGCAGCGTGACAACCCAGAGCTCAACCTCTGCGCCACCAGGGAGACCCTGTGGCTATTTCTTCCATCTTATTTTTCATGATTCTTGGATTCATTTTTCAGTTGTAAGCATAATATAGTAGATTATAACTTAATCTTCTCTCCCTGAAGCTAAAAAGTTAAGAGTTCCTGATATCTCTAAGTATATAAAGTGATAACATTTCAAAACAATATAGCCCTTAACTAGTCATCATAAAAATGTCCTGAATTACTAGAAATTAAATGGGATTAATTGGCATAATTCTCCCAAAGAGCAAATAAGTGGTGCAATTTTAAGTGCAAAGGTTAAGAACGCCCTGCCCATTGAAGGGAAATGCATTCATTCTGTAATTAATAATTAGCAAAAGGTTTAAGGTATAAAATTCCCTGGGAAAGATGGCATGTTAGTTTTCATTCACAGTAAGAGGGGAAATGACTGAGGGAGAATAATCTGTGACCAGGTTTTGATAGGAAATAGAGCAGATAGAAGTAACCAAGGACTTCCACTGAGTGGTGTGTGCAGTGGGGTGCCCGTTACTACTACTTCCCCTTCACTGGATCTTGGTGTCACATGTTTTATGAGCTAAAACAGCCCTCCCTATTTTAATCACTAGTTTAATAGGGGAAAAACAAAACATTCCTAAAAATATTGTCCATACTGTAGAATCTACATCATGTAATCTATAAAGTTTTAGGCATGTAAGTGTGATTATGATTATAATTCTCAGGAACAGGAGTGATGTTCTATGGAAGAAGCACTAACCCATCACTAGATGAGCTCCTCCTGGTGAGAGGAGAGTCCTCCCTGGGCGGGACTTTAGAAGAAAGCAGAGGTGACTGACTTGATTGTTCCAGGTAAGCTTCTGGCGTGGGGATCACAGCACAGGGTTGTGTCCTTATTTTGCTTTTCAGAGGTTTAATCGACCATTTGACTTTATTACAAGATGTGATCTATTATTCAAACTACAGTCAGATTGAACAACATAGAATTTAGTGTCAGAAGATCTCGATTTGAGAAAAGTCATTGCTATGGTTCATCTTACTTGCTCAAACGACCTCATAGTTTTGTTACAACGACTGCTCAAGTCAGACACAATGACTGAGGCATTTTTTACATTTTTTTTCCTGAAAACAGCACTCCACATGGACATGACTTACAAACTATATTGTAACACATAAATGTTACAAAAGAATTTGTACTAATTGTTACAATTTGGTACAAAAGTTTGTACAAAGTGTTACAAACTGAAAAAATGGAATTTGCAGTAATTTTTATTTCAGTAGAGGAAAAATAAGCCAATGACATTTTTATGTGAAAATTTATTGTTTTACAAATAAAAAAGCAGTTATGTTTTTGGGGCATGGAGTCACCTCTGCCCCAAGTTCCTTAATGGGTGACTTTCCTCTCACATCTTTAATCAAGGCAGCCTAGTGTTTCCCAGACCTCTCAAGTCAAGTAGGAAAAATGGTTTTTGCTAACTCCCTTGGGACAAACCAACTCTACTCAGCAACCTGGTGGCCAGTTAAGGACTATCCGGGTAGAAACTCCTCTCAGGCATTGCTCTAATGAAAGCTACTATACTGGTTTCTAACAGCATATGTTCTACCCACCATCATTCTTGAACTTAGTATGAATGAAATTATACAAAGTATATTCTTTTGGCTCTCCATTCTTTTTCTTAACACTATGTTTATAAGATTCACCATACTACTGTGTATGGTTATAGTTCATTCACTTTCATTGCTGTGTAGTATTCCATTCTCTGAATACATCACAATTTATCCATTTCACTGCTGATTATTTGTATTATTTCCATTTTGGTGCTACTTTATATGATATGGCTATGAACACCCTAGCCCATGCCTTGTGGTATACATATGTATACTTTTTTTCTGTGTGGTCTATAGGTAGAGGTAGAATTGTTAGATCATATACTCTGCATATATTCACTTTAGTAGACAAAGTCAAAGTAGTTGTACCAATATTCACTCCACCAAACTTATATATCCAGCAGTAGCTTGTAATACATTTATTTTCTGCTTATAATAGCAAGAGATGGTTTCTGTTTGCAAGTAAGAACTTTACAAGACATGTAAAGAAAAAAGTCTGGAGAGGAGTCTTACAGGTTGAGAATATCAAGGAGAAAGGTCTTGAGGCCATTATATCACTACCATGTATTGATTATTACTTGACAAATACTGTGCCTAATGTTTACACACATGCGCATGCACACACACAGAGATAGACATATAGCTATGCAGATGGATAAGATAATCAGAAATAAAGTAAATTAACCATTCTTAATTCAAAGTTGTATTACAGCTGCTGTGTAAGGTAAAACACTATGAAGTTAGTATGATTAACACTCATCTGTTTTGGGTAACTGACATTTTATAAATTGAAATAAATTGGTTAAAAATATCTACATATAATGACAAAACAAGTATTTGAATCCCAATTTGTCTGACTCCAAAATATCACCTCTTTAATGCCCCAAAAAGAGCTGAATAATTTATGCAGGATACTTAGAACAGATTCTGTCAACTCTAAGTGGTATCAAATAGCACCAACAACTTTCTAAGTTTCTTTATTTTTTCCAGTGTCTTATAGAGCATCCTAGGAAAAATGGCAGATATGTCATAGAAAGGGTGGAACACTCTGGGGAGTGGAAATCATGACATATTGTTTGCCAGTATTCTTCAGTGACTGGCAGTTACTGATGCTAAAAAGAAAGTCTTTGATCATAATGATAACTCACAGTCATATAATATTTTATATTCCTAAAACATTATAGGTCAGAATCCTATTAAATCATAAGAAGCTATGTGTTTCTTCATTCAAGTCTTTCTTTTAAAGAGACCATATTTTCAAGTGAGTTAAAAATAAAGAAGGAATATGATTTTGTTTGTTGTTCCATTTCATTTTATTTCATTCTTACAGATAAACAGCAAATTTCAACAAACATATCAAAATACTGAACTGATTTAACTTGTAAGAATTTTGCAGATTGTAAGATTGACATGTTTTGGTTGGTTGGTTAGTTGACCTTGTTGCTGTTGTTATGTTGGTAGTAGGTTTTTGATGTTTGATGGACATAAAGTGTTACTGTTTCATGGCCCCTGATAAATGCTTCTGGGACACTTTATTCAAATAAGCAGGATTCCTTCCTTGGGTGGAATTTTCCCTCAATTCTTTTTTTAAGTTTTGATGATTTTAAAACATAGATAACATTAAAAACAAAATTTTAAACTGAATAGATTTGGCACACACTAAAATAATTGTTGCATATCATTTAATGTAGTTCTAAAATCATGTCGCATTGAAAGGGAACATTGGAATCCTCTTAGAAATTGGTAGTATCAATCAACCCTTAAGAAAAGATTTCCCTTAGTCAAATAAAAAGGGTAGAGTATGGTAGTAAGAAGTCCTGAATATTTTCTCTTGACTACTTATTTAATTACATTGTTTCCTAAACCAATTTTATTTTGAACACTCCCTTCCAAAAAAGCACTATTTTGCAGACAGTTATTGTATCATCTGCTGCCTGCTGTTTATAACTGACAAGTGATTGTTAAATGCAAATTCTGTCATTGATCAGACTGGAGAGAAGTGTTAACTATGCCCTCCATCCAAAAGCAAAGCTAGTTTTGGTGTTGGTACTTTGCATATTTGCAACTTGGGATGATAACAGCTGCTACTCCCACATTACAATATAGGCACCTCCTTCATACATTATATAAGGTGAGCCAGAACACTTCAGGTGTCTCATCCTAAGACATATTCATAGGAAAGGAAAAGACTGTCAGAATGACTTTCCATATGCCTGAAGGGACATACATCTCGCAGATGCAAAGCCCCCTGTATAATACCAGAGAAAGGGAAGCCCAGTGTCAGTATCCAAGTAACACTCTCCAATCCTCAATACTCTGAATGGACACTTTATCCTTTCTGAGTGTCCCCAGCATTTAATTTATAATCATAAAAATAGATAACTATAATATTATGAAAATAATTGATAGTTAGAGTAAGGTAGAATTAAGCACTTGATGGAAAACAATCCATTTAGTCTCTGAATTTAAAAAATATATTTTCATGTAAGAAACTGAGAGGATGAGCCATCATTACTAATTTGACCTGGTATTTAGATGCTTCACCTGCCAAGCTGGTGTTTACATCCCTCTGAATCACCCTCCCTTCCAGTTCCTTATTCCTCAGCAGATGCTTCTGGTGGACTTTCTTAAACTTTTAGGGAAAGTTAAAAATTCAATAAGACATGGAAACAAAGCTACTACATTCTCTCCTTAACTTCAGGATTTGCCCTTTAATATTAACTTACGCATACAGTGAAAACCAAAATTGATCTGCCTGAATTTATTATTACATTTGGCTTATATCTGGACCTTGCATGACAAGAATTAAGTACTTTAAGTACCTGATCACCACACAAATGAGAAGTTAGCAAAAAGCATTACGACAGAACTCATAGAATGAGAGACAGAACTCATAGAATGAGAGAGACTTGTTTTTGTTTTTTTGTTTTGCTTTTTAAAGATTTATTTTCATTTATACAAGAACTAGGGCACAGACCAGAGGCACAGGAGGGTGAGAGGATACACCAGAGAGGAGAAAACAGGCAGAAGGACCAAAAACACTGTGTTTAGAGAAGCAGCAGGGCAAGACAGGAGAGGTCTGCGCGCCACGTGGGAATCTGCCTGGCTGGCCGGGAATCGAACCTGCACTGCCAGGCTGCAGCGGCTACTGACAGCTTCACAGCCCTGAGCTCAACCTGCTGCACCACTGGGGAGGCCCGAGAGAGACTTGTGTTTGCCATTTTTTTTTTTTTTTAATCCAGGAAGCAAACTCTCATTGTTCTTTGGCTGAATTTGAATGCTGGTCTCTATGAAAGCTATTTGTTTGGGCTGAATTTGGAATCTAATAAAATTTGGTGTTCATTTTTAACATTAACTAAGAATTCAGCTTAATGTTAAACCTTTGGGGAACTGACAAACTTTAACTTGCTTCATTTTTTTTTAATTTTTCTTTTATTTTTTTCCCTTTTTTAAATTTAAATATTTTATTTTATATAATTCTTACATCTTTTTTCATCTTTGCACAATGTATGCATTTTCATTTTGGTTATATTCCCCATATAATTGCACCACCCCCCTTATTTTGACTCTAGTCCTTCCTCTCCCCGCCCATCCCTCTCCCCACACAGTGTGTCTCTGGTTTATAGTTGCTTATTGATTTTGCTTTTTATTTGTATTGATTAGTCTTTTTCCTGGTCTCTTATTTAGGTTTTCTAGATTCCTGCTATGAGTGAGACCACCCGGTATTTTTTTCTTTCTGACTTATTTCGCTGAGCATGATCCCTTCTAGCTCCATCCATGTTGCTGCAAACTGCATGTGTTTATCTTTTTTGATTGCTGAGTAATATTCCATTGTGTATATGTACCACATCTTCTTGATCCAGTCATCTATTTTTGGGCCTTTGGGTTGTTTCCATAGCTTAGCTATTGTAAATAGTGCTGCTATAAACATAGGCATGCAGGTAACCTTTGGAATTACTGTTTCTGTGTCATTTGGGTAAATACCTAGGAGTGCCACATCAAAGACATCTTTACAGACACATCACCCAAAGCAGTGATAGTGAAGGCAAAGATAAACAGCTGGGACTACATCAAATTAAAGAGCTTCTGCACAGCAAAAGAGACAATAACAAAAACAAAGAGAAACCCCACCGTCTGGGAGAACATTTTTGCACACAACACTAATGATAAAGGACTGATCACAAAAATCTACAAAGAGGGCCTCCCCGGTGGCGCAGCGGTTGAGCGCTGGGTTCCGAAGCTGC